GGAGACATGGGTTCGATCTTTGGATTTGGAAGATTCCCTGGAGAAGGAAGTGGCAACCCACTCCAGTATTCTTGCCTGGAGAATCCCATGGACAGGGGAGGCTGGCAGGCTCCAGTCCATGGGGTTGCTAAAGAGTTGGACACGATGTAACAACTAAACAACAACCTTATTGCCCACAAAGTAAATCTAAGCATGTAGTCCTACATACATAGTACTGGAGGTCACTGTGTTTTTGAACTTTTACATTTATTGAAGTGCAGTTGTTTTACAGTGTTAGTTTCAGCTGTACAACAAGGTGAATTGGCTGTCCATACACGTGTATCCCTCTTACTTGGATTTTCTTCCCATTTAGGCCACCACAGAGCATTGAGTAGAGTTCCCTGTGCTATGTAGTAGGTTCTTATTAGCAACTGAGCTTTTTGTTCTCAATCGACAAGTTTTTATCTCAAGGACACTGTGAATCACGTTATTGATCTCATTTCCTTCTTTGCCTCTGAAGCTAGACTGCTTAGAGATGACCTGGCGATTTGCTTCTAGCAGGTGTAAGAACCTCATGGCAGGTACTGGGGTAACTACCCCGTTCCTGCTTCATTTTATACCCTCCTTGTCCCACTGCCTGCCCCTGATTTTTGTTCAGCCTGAGTGGTCAACTTCATGGCTGAGTCATAGCTTCATTTCCACCCAGCCGCCCCATCACCACTCCTTTCTCATGTCGTCCAGTCCCACCTCCCTGAATGTTCTGTTCTCCCTGCCGTGGACCCTCCGTTTCCTTTGCTCAGAGCAGTTCCTCTGTTGTAACTCTCTCCCCCACCCCAGCTCTTACTCCTTGTCAGCTTACTCAGCTCAGCCATCAGTCACAATCTCCTCTAGACACCCGATCCCTCAGTGGGTTAAGTTGGCTGATACCGCCTGTGTGACCCATTGCCCCATGCAGACTTCTGTTCCGGCACCAAGAAGAAAATTCACTGAACTCACGTGTTCACAAAACAGTCTGTCTCTGCTCAGCTGTGGACAGGGACCAGATGTTACTGTTCCTTGAATCCTACCGTGCCTTGCACAAGATACAGAAGGAGAAGAATGAATGAAGCAGTGTTAGATGTGGTAGATAAGTCACCATAAGAATTTACGAATGGGCCCTGGACTGACTTTGCAATACGGAGGTAGTTGCTGACCTCTGCTAGAGCCCTTCAGAGGAAGGGTGGGCATAGCCTGATTCTGTGAGAGGGAGAAGGAGGCTGGGAGCATGGAAGAGAGAAGTAAGGGTTGGGAGGAGGAACAGAGAGAGCGCCTCGGAGAGCGGGCAGAAAGAGGAAGTCAAGCGGAGCGATCAAAGTCTATACTGCCATCTGAGAGTGTGTCTCTAGGGATAAGCACAGCGCTCCCAGGCTTGGGTGAAGGTGGTTGGTCTCCAGCTGGTGTTCAGTAAGGTGAAATCTTATTTTGAGTGAAGTCTTTACTTCACAGCAGCTCTTTCCGCCTTACCTCTTCTTTAGTGTTTACTGTGTATCTGCTTTTTGTTAAGAATTTTCTTTTGAGGTAGATTTGTCCCCATCTTATGATTTGTATCCGTTCAATAACAAACACAGTATCCTGTGCAAAAAAGTGATGTTCAATAAATGCTTGAAGTTTTTGCTTCAGTGCATTTTGGTTTTCCTGACATCTAAATTATAAAGTAACAATGCACCTGAATAATACTAACCAATAAAGGCAAAATTATTTTATTTGGCACTTGAATTTTTTTTTTTCACATGAAACAAATAGGAATATGTAGAAGTGAACAAACCACCCCTGTCTACCCGCCAAGACCACTGTCACCGATTTGGTCCGGGTTGTGCTCATGCTGCTTCCTCTGAAAACTCCTCTCTGAGCACAACATTCATTGTTTTGAGACTTACCTGCCATACCATTGTAGACAGCTAAGGTGAGGGGGGCTGGTGCCCAAAGGAAATGAACCGAACTGGGTATGGCTTTCTTGACGTAAGAGAAGCCATGCTGGGCCTAAGCAGTTTTGTGATCTAAAGTGAAAGTGAAAGTCGCTTGGTGTGTCCGACTCCGTGACCCCATGGACTGTATAGTCCATGGGATTATCTAGGCAAGAATACTGGAGTGGGTAGCCGTTCCCTTCTCCAGGGGATCTTCCCAACCCAGGAATCGAACCCAGGTCTCCCGCATTGCAGGCGGATTCTTTACCAGCTGAGCCCCAGGGGAAGAGCTAAGCCTGGGCAAAATGCTTGCCCTTGAGCAGGTCTCAGTAATTAATGATCAAAGGGAACAAAACAGAACTGTTATCAGGCAAGAGAAGTTACATACAGTAGCAAAGTTAATAAATCAGTTGTAAAGACTCCCAGTTCTAAGCCAGAAAGATAAAGACCAATACAGTATACTAACGCATATATATGGAATTTAGAAAGATGGTAACGATAACCCTATATGCAAAACAGAAAAAGAGACACAGATGTACAGAACAGACTTTTGGACTCTGTGGGAGAAGGCGAGGGTGGGATGTTTCGAGAGAACAACATCGAAACATGTATATTATCTAGGGTGAAACAGATCACCAGCCCAGGTTGGATGGATGAGACAAGTGCTCAGGGCTGGTGCACTGGGAAGACCCAGAGGGATCGGGTGGAGAGGGAGGTGGGAGGGGGGATCGGGATGGGGAATACGTGTAAATCCATGTCTGATTCATGTCAATGTATGGCAAAAACCAGTACAATATTGTAAAGTAATTAGCCTCCAACTAATAAAAATAAATGGAAAAAAAAAAAGACTCCCAGTTCTGTTTTCAAAGTAAACATGAGCCTGAAGCACTTTGAGCTCTTTTATAGAATTCCAACACCCCTCCCTCTGCCTTGAGCCCTCAACCACAAGATCAACTGGAACCTAAGGAAAGATGCTCTTGGCCTTTTCTGACCCTCATAACTTCAGTCAGCTGAAGCTTGGTCTCTTGTCAACCTTTGCCCCAGTTCTGTGCAGAAATTCTCCTCTGCTCAGGACCCCTTCATGAATAGGCATATACTGCCCAGGCCGCTTCATGCAGATGCGTGCACACTTAACCTGAAAACTTTCCTAGTTTTGGTGTTGGGGAGACTTTGCCTTGGGAAAGATCCCTGGTGTTTTCTTTATTTGCTGCAGTTAAAAAATCCTTCTCCCGCTCTCTGGGTTGGTTGTCTCTTTCTGCTTGACAGCCACTGAGAGGTGAACCCAATTTTTGGGAGATACCACCTCTCCTGTATCCTTTGCCTGCCCCAGGAAATGGACTGTTCCCCTCTTGGCCTCACTGTGCCTAGGACAAACTTCTGTCACTTCACTGTTCTCGTTTGGACAGATAACCTGTTTACCTGAACCAGACTGATTTTTCTTTAAAGCAGAATAAAATTAAATTTTTTTTGCTTGCATTTTAGAGTTGTAAAATGGTAGCCTGATTTTTTTTTTGTCTTAGCATTATGTTAAAAGTATTTTTCTATTTTGTTATAATTTTAGCAGCTGCTTATTTCATCAAAGGAATGACTGTCTCCTGTCACTGGCTATGCAGGTTTTCAGGGTTTTGCAATAAAATGTTACTACCTGCCAAAATTGACAATGCAAAAGAAATGTTCCTTAAACTTAACATTAAAATATTTTTCATTGCTATAAGGTGTATGTAAGGACAAAGCCATATTTACAGAAAATAAAGATAACTTCCCTAGTACTGAGTTTTTTGGGCAGATAACTTGCAGCATTCAGAGGATCCAGAGTTCAGGGTGTGGTGTGCAACTGCAGCTGTCCAGGAGTTGTTACTAATCAACTCTAATGTGATCTAAAGAAGGGCCCATGATTTGGGCTGAATTGCAGAATGCAGTGGTGGGAAAAGAAAGTACTATTTCCTGAGCACCATAATACATACTAGGCAGATGGGTGAAGCTTTTATTTAAATAGGGAGTTTGCTTGCATGTATGTAGGAGGACTTCCCTAGAGCAGAGGACAGTTGTGTGTACGGTCATCTGCTGAAGGGTAGTTGCACGTTATCTGGAATTTACTTATTAATATAAACGTAGGCATCTTTTAAAGTCTCTTGGAGATTGAGTGACTGCTACTTTGAACATTATGCAGAACATTATATATATATATATGCATATATATATGTTATATATATGCATATATATGTTATATTTATATATGTGCATATATATATGTTATATTTATATATATGCAGAACGTTAAAGAGTCATAAAACCCAACTAATAAACCAGGAGTGCGTCAGCACATTCGTTAACCCCATAGTCCTCCTTCCTCATGCCCAGAGCACCCTGGAGATGCTGGAAGGAAAGGAAGGGCGTGCATATGCCTGAAAACTATACTGTATTGTATGAAAAGAAGTTGTCCTGCTATTCCCAGTCAGGCAGATGGCTCCACACTCAATACATAGGCAGTTGGGAATGTGGCGTTTTCATTCCTAAAAACATCTGCCTCATAGTTAGATTCTCTAGGGCTACTTCAGGCTGTTGCTCTTGAGAATTTAAGTAATATAAAAACCAGAAGTGTTTTTTTAAGTATTTAAAAATTACCTTTGCACCTGTAGTATCATATGAAATGTACGCTTTCCCCAAGTACAGCCAACTGTAACTTTTTCTTTATATATGAATTTTTAAAAAAATGCTTTTTCAAAGTTATGTTCAAACTGCTTTGAAAAGGGAAGGGAAAAAACAACTTTTTTTAGGGGGAACACCACTGAATACAGTTTCCTAAAGAATTAGGTAATCTTTGTAAAGTCTCTTTTAATGTATGAAATCTGTTTCGTTGCAAGTTTATATAATCCTGTATCCGTTTTCTAAATCCCCTTTCGCCTTACTGGGTGCAGGTTCTCTGAAATCCCTGAGGAGGAGGTAACGGCTGGATTGTTGAAGGACAAAGTAGGCTGCTTAAGTTTCAAAGCCTGATGCCTGAAGGGAGGGAATCCATTGTTACGGCAGCCTCTCACCAAAGCCCAGTTCATTGACTGTGAACCTGCTCTGCCACAGATTCCGAGTCCGAAGGGTCCCTGAGCAGACTGGAAGCAGTGACGGCACACTCCTTTGACGAGGAAGCAGAACCCCCGAGCAGCAGACAGCACAGAATGTCCGAGGGCAAGGACTGTGGTGGTGGAGACGCGCTCTCCAATGGCATCAAAAAACACAGGTAGGAGGGCCTGTCTCAGCCATCACTGCCGCCTCTGTCCTCAAGTGCATTTGGGTTTGTAAACCAAAGTGTGTGGCTGTCTCCTCGTTCTTTTGCTTTTTTCTCTCTGCTGAACATTTATATTGCTCTAGCACCTCAAGGAAAGGATTCGGCTTAAATACTTTGTCCATTTACAGAAAGAACATCATCAGTTGTCTTTGCAGGAACTAAGCGCAAAACATGGTTTTTGGCTCCCATGATTTCAGGGGCCCGTAAATCCTTCAACTGGCTATTTAGAAGGGCTCTTCAGAGCTCCCTATTGAAAGTGATGCTGGCTTCCTTTTTTCGAGCATGCATCTTTTATGACTCTGCCTCTCAATGCTATTTTAGTTTCTTGTTATTTGATCTTCGTGTTGGTTTTATTAAGAATGGATGGTAATATTGCCTGCTTATTGAAACAGTTTAGTTACATTTAAAGAAAGACTTTTATTAAGACCTGGGGTTTGTTGAACATAGCCCTTTAATACTGTCTAATAACATCAGTATTGTTTTTCTTACTCCCTTGATGATTTAGTCCTAGAGGTTGTCTCAGTTTAATGAGGTGTCACAGACACTCGAGTTGTCTGGTTTCACACAAGTTTATAGGCGCAGTGCCTTGTGTATGTGCTGGTATTCATGGGGTACAATATTTTATCAAATTGTCAGTGAAGACTGTATTCTGTTGTCATTGTAAAAAGCACTTTTTTTTTTAGTTATTAATTTCTACCTGATAGTTTTTTACTGTTTAATATTTATAATTTGTATAGCTTTAACTTCATTTCTGTATGGGATTCTGGCTACCATTGGTCTCAACTCTTGTTGTACTGAAAAAATGGTACACAGCACTTTTGATGTGTATGTATCTGCCCCCTGTTAAGGAGGAATGTTTTTTCTTTGTACTTATTTGAAAAAAATCAGTTTTAGAAAACAAACCAGAGTTTTCTTCTGTGCAGTTAAAGGGTATCCTCTAAGCGTGCTCGTTGATGGTTATCTTTTGATGGAGGTTATCATGACAGATGTTGTCGTGAGCCGTGAGGGCCCGTCCCGACTGTGCTGCAGTTGCTGTCCTCTCCTTTGTGGTCTGGTACTCAGTTCTGGGCAGGCCATAAAGTACCTCAGTGGAAACCCAGCAGGTCTCAGTTTCCTGGTCTCTAGAGAGAAGACAGCCTTTAACTGTTTAACATACATCATGACGGTCTAGTGACAACACAGGAGAAATCTTTGGAATGTTCCAAGAAGTACACAAGTAGTTGATAGAATTGTTAAGATATTTGGAAGGAACGCTGTGCTTATTAGATGCTGTCAGAGCCTGTGACTGAAGGGGGGATTTCTTGGCTTTTCAAAAGCCCAGGAGCCTGTTTGTGTGTGTGCCATAATGCATCATAACGAGTTATTTTGCATCTGACAGCAATTTATTATATTAATACTACGTTCACATAGCCTGTGTTGTCTCTTATTAGTCCAACCCATAATGGCACAGATGTGGAAGTCTTTCCCCTTAAACCCCTTCCACCGCCCTGTCTCCTGCTGTACTTGGAATCACCTTATCTATTTCATGTTCTTAGCCAACAGAAGTACTTAGGCTTTCCTTTCTGTAGTATGGATTACGGAAACAACACGTTCCCCCTAAATATAATATATGAAGCCACTGCAGGCCCTATTCCTGTTCCTCTCTGGGATGTCAGCATGGAGTGCCTAGGAGAGGGCCTGCCACAGGGGACGCACTCGGTGTAAATGACCTCTTTTACCTCTGTTTACTCTCATTCTCCTCAAAAACCATCTGCGTAAGTCTGGAGAACCTCTACCCTCTTGTTTCCTTTCCACCCCGTTATCACAGGATGACATCATGGAGTGCAGTTTGAAAAATCTCTGACCCAGTGAATCATAAGCTGTAAGGCCTGTGTCGTGGTCATTTAATGTAAAACAAGGTATGCCAGACTCACTGAGTTTATTTCTATGATAATTAAAATAGAGATATTATGGATCTTTAATCCATCCTACGTGATGATTACCACGAAAATAATTCATCTGTTAACTAGGTAAATTAAGTCATCTCTTAAAATTTGGACTAAATGAACTGAGTTCTCCTCTCTGAAAGTCTTGTGATTGCTAACTGAAATCTTGAAAACATGGTTTTTCTACCATATGGAAGTTTAGGAAACTTCTACAATGTCTTTTGATATGATTAGACTTGGGGGAAAAAAGTATTTTGTGTTTTTTAATTCACTCTGAATTACTGATGGGCTGTGTACTCTGCTGGGCATTGATCTTGTCTGTGGTTCTGTGCATGTCTTTGGGCTTTCAGGTTAGTTGTAGAGAAATATCAGCAGAAAGGATCAGAGATTGATTTAAGACCTAGAACCAAAAATACTGCGGAGATGGAAAACATACAAAATAAATGCTTTGTTTTGATGGCACTTTCTTTTTTCCAGAAAATACATTGACTTGCCTTGTGGAAGGTTAGCTTTCACCATACTGGTCAGGTTTATGTTGATAGGGCTTCTTGTCATCTCGGTGGTCTGTGTTCTGTGGGATCAGTTCTCTAGTCTTGAGCCTAATTTAGTACACTTATTCTGAGCTCTCCTCTTTTAACTTTTTAGGAGTTTGACCTAAGTTGGCATAATTGGTAAAGATAGTGATATTTATCTAATCTGGATATATATAATATAAAAGATACTAATGTAGAACAGGTTAGTAAGAATCTGAAATATTGGATTCATGTTATGATGCTTTAAATGGTATTCCCAGTATTACTAGATTAAAAGATAAAAACCTATGGTCATCCTAATAAAGAAAAAACATTCAATGAAATTAGTCACTCATGATTAATAAGCATTAACAAATTACAAATGGAAGAGAACTCCTTTAATCTGGTTGAAAGTTGGAACAAATAAGTACTTGATAATGAACTATAAAAAACAGTTCTTCTAATTTCAGGAATAAGACAAGGATGCCTGCCATCACCTTTTCTGTGCATCATTGATCGGAGGCCATAGCTAGAGACATAACACAGCCCCCAGATTTAGAAATAAACAGGACCAGAGATGTCTACAGACAAATCATTATAGTTACTATGAAAGTTTGGCAAGGTTGCTTTGCTGCAAAGTCAGCTAACTGTTAATATATTTCTGTGCACCATCAACAGAAACTGCAGTTAAAACTGGGGGGTGGGGTTGATTTTAGAGTATTTATTAAAAAGTCACTTACTTTGAAATAAATACTGAAAGATATAAAACTTATCAAGAAGAAAAAGTCATTGCCGTAAGTTTGATTCACCAAATTGATCTATAGACTCAAACATGCTTTCATTTAAAGTTGCACTTTACCTTGGAAGTTGAGAAATGGATTCTGAGCTATATCTTTGAGCTCAGAGGGCTTTCAGGAGCCAAGATACTGCTCAAGAACCTGGTTTGAGGGAGGGAAGGCATTTGCCAGACTAAATGCCAGGTTGATTACAAATCTTTAGTGCAGAATTGTCCTGCAGGCAAGACTGATCTGAAGAAGTAAAAGGTCCGAAGACCCAGACATAGAAGGAAACCTGGTATATGTAACAGAGGCAGCATCGCATATCGGGGAGGGAAAACATGGACTGTTAGGTCAGTGCTGCTGGGAGAATCATTCAATACAGAAAAAAAAAAGGGAAATGGCCCTCTGCTTCACAAATATAATTTAAATTCTAGATGAACCAAACACACATCTGTAAGACCATAACTTAATAAACTTTTCATAAGAAAATGTAAAAATACCTTTGCAATTTTAAACTACAGAAGGGTTTCTTACAACAGAAATGTGATAGGAACAAAGTTTTATCTGACTCTAATTAACATACTTGTTCTTGATGTGTTTACCTGAATAAAAGCCTTGCATTCTTTCATAAATGTGGCCAAGAATCTTAAATGTTTAGTTTGCTGAAATGGTAGATTCAGACTCCAGACAATCCCTCGGTTTACCCTTGGTTTATCCTGCGTGACTGCTTTAGAATTATTAGGTGACTGAATAACAGCTGTTTTCTGTGTGTGAAGAATATCCTGACATGTTGAAGTCAAACAAAAAGGTTGAGAATATGAGCTAAGACAGTCTGCCAAGAAGTAGGGTTATACTGAGAAAATGTTGTTAGTTGTGAATAAAAATTATTCAACTTCCGATACATTTTGTCAGTAGTGCAAACCCACCTGGACTTCCCTGGTGGCTCAGCAGTAAAGAATCCACCTGCCAAAGCCGGAGATGTGGGTTGAGTCCTTGGACTGGGGAGATCCCCTGGAGAAGGAAATGGCCACCCCGTTCCAGTGTTCTTGCCTGGCAAATCCCATGGACAGAGGAGTCTGGTGGGCTACAGTCCAGGGGGTTGCAAAGAGCGAGGCATTACTGAGCACACACACACACATAGAGCAGGCAAGTCAGCTCGCTCAGAGGCCCTCTGGTAATCTGGGCAGAAAAACACCCTTGTCTATCAGGAAGTATTTGGGGTAGCTCCTTGTTGTCATGTAGTGACCAGGGGTCTAGAGACACCTAAGGACCTAGGGGTAAGAGCCTTGCCCAGAATTAGCCAGATTTGGGGTAGTGCCTGGGGCTTCCCAGCTGGCACTAGTGGTAAAGAACTTGCCTGCCAATGCAGGAGACACAAGGGACTCAGGTTCCATCCCTGGGTCAGGAAGATCCCCTGGAGGAGGGCTTGGCGACCCACTCCAGTGTTCTTGCCTGGGAAACTCCATGGACAGAGGAACCTGGTGGGCTACAGTCCAGTATTCTTGCCTGGGAAATTCCATGGACAGAGGAGCCTGGTGCACTATGGTCCATAGGGTCACAAAGAGTCAGACACGACTGAAGAATGCAGGTTCCGGAGACACCGTGTTCTATGCTCTCACGTTACTCCCTGACTCAGAGTAGTAGTTTGCTCTGGAAAGCAGAGGACTGTAATTAAAGAAAAAAGAGGTACTCCTAGAAGCTCACGCAGCTCTCCTGTGGGGCCTCGCTCATTAACA